GCTTGTGTCTAGCCAGTTCTTGTTCAACCATTAGGTCAGTATCTTCGACTTTGACCTCACGGTTATATTCTTTGGGCAGCACAGATATGACATTCACCATGATGTTTAAATTGTCACTAGAGTCAGAGTCGTCTTCATCATTCGACCCACACTCTTCCGCCCAGGGCACAGGATTTCTCTCCAGAGGCTTCCTTTGTTTTTTCTGCACATTAGTGCTAACTTCTGGATGAGGTCCAGCTGCCTCTTTCTCAGCCTTTCGCCGTCTTTAAAACCTTCTCCACTGTGAACGAGACATAAGATTCTTTCCTTTATAATTGCTCGACACATGGGTCATTTTGTTCGACGCAGAAGCATGGTACTCCTTTCTGTAATCTAGAGAAGAACCTCTTGGCACGTCGGATGTCTGCCACATTTCTTCATTTGGTCGTTTCCTTCCCATGGTATTCAACCAAGTATCAGTAGGCACATTAGTTGGAGGCCTGAAAGTCAGTGGCCTCCTTTCCTGATTCCTGGGTCTTTGTTGATGTCCCCTTCTGGGGTCAAATCGAATTTCTGGACCCACTCTTTGTTGGGCATTGGTGCCCTGTTTTGCTTTTACAGCCCGCATCACTTGTATGTGTTCAGCGGCTTTCTTAGCAAAAATAGAGCTACATCTAGGGCATAACATTACTTTCAATTTCTTCTTTTGGCATATATGCAAAAATTCTACCAAATCTTCATCCTCCTTTGGGAATGCAATTTTGTTTACTTCTTTTTGTTAAAAGGGTTTCTTCTGAAACTTTGGCTACAGAGACTTCGACCACGTTAACCTACATGTTGCTTTTGACAGCCAGGTTCATCTTCTGCATTTTGGCCTCCAAGTCCTCTGTCGAACCCTTTGCAGCAGCCAAATAAGAACCTGTGGTGGTTCTTTTGCTGGAGCTTTCAGCAACTCCTTTGATTTTGTTTGGCTCTTCAGCAACCCGTTGGATCAGTTTTAGGCTACCAGCAACCTTCTTGTTCAACGCTTGGCCAACTTCCTTTTTCGAATCCAGGCCTTCAGTGGCCTTTCTCACCCCTTCAATAGTTTTCTTGGAGATGTTCCCAGTGAAACTTCCGAAGATGGGTTTTGTGATGAAATCTTCAGACACTTCCACCATATGAATGCCAACTGGTTCAGCATAATGAGCCTCTGCTTGCAGTGGGTTTGTGTCGATTTTCATTGCTGGTTTATCAACAAATTTCAGCCTTCCTTCCTTCAGTGCATGTTGAATGAGGTCCCTGAAAAGGAAACATTGTGAGGTTTTATGTCCCAAAAAATTATGGTATTTACAAAATCCTCTTTTCTTTCTCTGTTCTAAAGGAGGCAATTTAGCCCCTGGGGGCACTATCATCTGTCTATCTTTAACTAATAGATCGAATATTTCGTCACACTTGGATATGTCGAAGCTATAAGTTTTCTTAGGAAATTTATCACTGCTTTTCTCAGGTTCTACAGGATTTTTCCCATTTGATGGCACCAATAATTTACAAGAATATGGTGGTCCTTGTTTTAATTCAGCTAAATCGATTTCGCCTTCTTCGACATCTATAGGGTCGCTGTATGCCTCTGGATCGTTATCATCCACTTCGACATAAGCTACCTTGTCCCGTCGATGAGTTTTGGCAGTTTTAGCCTTTTCAGCTTTAAGGCGTTCTACTTGTCGAACTCTATCAGCAAGTTGGGCCATATCTCTTAGGTATTGTGTATCTAATTTTTTCCTAATCGAATAATCCAGGCCCCCTGCTGCTATTTCAACTAGTTCATGCTCAGGCACTTGGGTAAAGTATCTGGCTTTGAGTAGTCGAAACCTATTTAAATATTCATCAATTGGCTGTGTGAACCTTCTCTTCACACTAGCCAATTCTTTTAGACTTATCTTGGTTTGACCCATGTAAAATTGTTCATGGAACAATCTTTCTAATTGGTTCCAGTTGTGGATCAAATTGGCTGGGAGGGTAGTGAACCAAGTGAAAGCATTTTTAGTTAAGGAACTTGGGAAATATTTGATTCTAAGGTTTTCATTGTTTGCTATTTCCCCGGCCTCTATCAAATATCTAGGCACATGTTCGGCAGTCGACTCTGTCGTATCCCCTGAAAATTTAGTGAATTTTGGGACTTTTCTCCTAGGTGGTAAGTCCGTTTGCAGAGTATACTCTGACAATGGAGATGTAAAGTTTGGTCTATGAAAACCAACATTCATCCCATTTTGAAGCATGATTCTCTCGATCATAGCGGTTAAATTATTATCCGCCCCATAGTTCTGGTGTCGAACTTGTTGTATTAATTTGTCAGCGTTTTGGTTTCTATTAGCCAGAATAACACCTTGATTGATTTCTCGATGGTTTCGAGGTATCTTTATTCTTGGTTGTTCTACTTCTACCCTTGGAGTTTGGGGGTTTGGATTAACGGTCAAATCTTCTTCCATGATTACCCCTTGATTTAATCTTATTGGTACCCTCTGGGGTTGTCGAACAACTTGGGGTAGTTGAGCAACTTGGGGTACCCCAAAGAATTCAGCCATGCGCGTCATTTGCGTTGTTATCTATTGATTCGACTGCGTAGCAGTCTGGATGAGGGGATTTAGCACTGTACTTAGAGTTTGTGCTAACATTTATACCATTTCATGATTGCTTTCGTCCATTTGTTGCCTCAAAATTGCTGTCGAAGCATTTGTGAGGCTTGGTATCATGTGAGATGGCCCTCCCAAAAATTGGTTTCTACTGGCTCCAGACCCTTGTAATGGTGATGTTTCATTCACCAAAGGTTCTGAAAAGGTGGACGCAGCATTCATAAGGCTAGCCATCTCAGTAGTGGGCATGCCATATGGCTGTTCTCGACCCATCCAGGTTGTCGAAAAGCCTGGGGGTATGGTTGATCGAGACCCTAGGTTTATCCTTGTTGGGGGTGTTCCCAAAGGTCCTCTTGGACCCACATACGAAAGTGAGGGTCCAGTTTGATTCATGGTTAACGCTGGTATTGATCCAACAGAAGTTGAGATATTCCATTCGACAGCAGTAGTAACCGTTGTTCCTGTAATTGGTGGAGGTATTTCTCCATGGTTTGCCTCGTTAGCCATACTACTCTCTCTGTTTTCCTTTTTAACAGTATATTTGTTGGTTACTCTACCACTTCTTAATAACATGTAATGTTATAATTGTACAGGAAAAACACAATAACATAGAAAATTAGCAACGTCCCACCAGGTGTGCCAATTTGTTTACCGTTGTTTTTGATAAACAACCGCTAATCTCCAAAAATGTAAGGTTTTTGGTTTACTTACGGGATCGACCAAACTAATCCCAGAACATATGCTAATCTTTATGTAAAGTGAGTAAGAAGGAAGAACGCATGTTCGACCCAGAGAAAGGATGTTTGAGATTGTTGAAAAGTAAGCAAAAGTGTAAAAATGCAAGTAAAAGAAATAAAAAGATAACTTTGCAAGATAATGATGAAGTAATGTAAAAAGACTTTTAATAAGGAAAAAAGGTGTTTCCAACGTACATTGCTCAGCTTTATCCTTTCTCACGCAGTAGTTACTTGGATAATATTTAAGTGATTTAGTACAATAGGTTGAACACCTTTAAAAATCACACAAGCTTCTTAATTTATACTAAAAGTAGGTAACCGTCGAGGGGACATTCTGCGCTAGGATGAAGACAAGTGTCTTCTGCATGCCTCTCGACCCATAGCTTTTTGCCACGTTGCCTCTCCTTAGACGCTGATGAAAACTACCTTTCCCTCCAATAATTCAAATTTCAAATGGTCTTCGTCCCATGTGCCAAAGCGTGAACACTTTCCTTCAGTCGAGCAACATAAATCTGCTTCAGTCGAATGAGCCCTTGGTCGAAGATTCTTATCATAACTTAGATCATTTTTCCTAAGTTATCTCATGTGTCGAATCATACCTCCTGGTTTAGTTCATTCCAGTTGTTTGGTCCAAAAGACCAAATACAGTAAGTGTCGAATTTAGGAGCCAACACCGAGAAAATAACATATCCATCTCTGGTGAAAATCATGGAAGATGTCATGACGCAAAAAATAGAGATAAATGAGAAGAAAATGTGAGAAAGTATGAAGAATGATGGAGAAATGAGTGTTTTATTTATAGAAAACACAAATTTCACATAGTAGCCATCTCAGGTGTCTCCTCTTCCATATATTGTAGTGCATGTGCCATCTCACATGACTAAAAGAAAGTGTATGCGTCATGTGAGATGACACCTAAGACAAAAAGGTGAGTGCATGCGTCAAGTGAAATAACGCTTTTATTGGTGTATATTATTGCTATAAAAATTCGTAAAATTGAGTGTCATAAGAGCATTTCTCATTTTTAAATCATCTAAAAAAATGAAATATCATTTTATTTCATCTTATTTCACTATACTTCGTTTGATTACATCAATTCAAACAAAGCCTAAAACATTTGAAGTTAAAATTTAACATAATAGATTAAGTTAACTAACAAAATTGTTTTAAAACGCAACGTTTATTAGAAGGATCTAAATGAAACTTTAAAATTAAGATAAATTAAATTAACGTTTATGTGAATTTAAGTTGGGTTCCGATATTTTTAGTGTACTTTTTTTAATGTTTTAATTTTTTAATTTTTTAAATATAAAATAAAAAAAAATAATGCGACTTTGAATTATAATATTTGAGTATCTAACAAAATTCAAAGGTGTGAGAGTATTCACAATTAAATAAAAAATAAAAAAATGGATTAAATCTTTTGTTTTAGATCAGATAATAGTATTTTATTTTAAAATCGATACACCGGAGTATTACGAATACGAACACAAATTACATTAGCAGCGCGGGGTGTTATGAATTTTTATTTGGGAAGAAGAGGGATTATGCCCTATCACGTCGTTTACTTTTGGGGAGTAAAACGACAAGAAGACGCTGTCGTTTGTATTTGAACTCAGTCGAAGAACAAAATCTCTCTTTCCCCAATCAGAAAATCACGTAAGAAACAGAGATGGCAGACGATTTGTTTGAAGGGTTGCCTCCTCCTTCTTCCAACACACACTTCCAACAATCACAACCACCACCACCACCACCACCACCGCCGCCAATTCTTTCTGTTTCCACCACCGATTCCTCTACAGTTCCACCCATACCAAAGCCAATTCTCAAAAGTTCCCTCAAACGACCTAACCCTACTCAATCCGATAACACCCAAGGTACATAAACCACTTCTAATCAATTATTTCGCGTTTTTTATAAACCCTAAGTTAGATCATTTTACGTTCTATTATGTTAATTATACACTTATTGTTTATGTATCCGCTTTTAATTGAATTTATATTGTAATTTCAGCTGCAGCACCTAAAAAGAGTTTGAAGTTTAAAACCTCTACGGATGCTTCCGAAGCGCAAGTTATTGATGCTATGAAGAAGATATCTTCTCATATCAACAACCCTGCCAAATTCAGTAAGGCTGCAAAGCTTGCCATTCAGTTGATTCAGGCAGGAAGTGTTAAGTCTTCCGTTAGTGATTATTTTTTCGCGATATTAGAAGCTGCAATGTTGTCGCCGGTACCTTGTACAGATCCTTCCGTGCGGGCAGATTATCATTCTTTGTTCTCGGCAGCGCAAGATGCAAAAGAAGTAAGATTAATGTTTGTTCAAATTATTCATAGTTTTAGCAATTCTTTTTTCATAAGCAATAACTGCATATCTGTTTTGTCTGTTATCTGTAGCACTTTAATAAGAAGCAGAAGAATCAGTTGGCGACATGGGTAATTAGTGCTGTGGTAGCAAATGATTTATATACGGATGATAGCTTTGTGGTATGGTTCTCTCTCTAATTTTATTTTGAACTTGCTTATTTAAACTCCTGAGAACGTGTAGTTTCCTTTTTATTCAAGGCAATGAGAAGCATATTGGAAGATATGCAACAGGTTTTGAGATGTAATGCTGTTCCATGCATCACAATTTTTTTTTTTTGTGTAAGCAAGATTTAATAATTGGGAGAACTAAGGGTTCTCCAACCTGTTTACACGACGAAACCGGAAAAAACCCGGCAAAAGAAATTACAAGTCAATTACAAATTACAAAAGAAATAATAAAAGATCTTTGTTAAACTCGTAAAAACTACAATTGAAATGTGTAATTTCTCCAAAAAAAGACCACTTCCAAACCAATGTTTTTATATACCATACCGTATTATCAAAATTCCAAGCTTCATTCCGAAAGCAAACCCCATTCCTTAACAACCAAAAAGTCCAAGTAGTTACCAACCATATAACATCCAACTTACCCTCTTTCACCTTTTTATCCCTACAAAATGAGTGTCAATTCATAAAATTCAAATTACACTCTTAAACCCCAACATCTGATTTTCCAACCCAAGAAGCTATTTCCCTCCAAACATTCTTAATCACACTACACAAGAATAACAAATGATCCCTATTTTCCGGATCAATTCCACACAAACTACACCTTTGAACATCAATAGAAAAGGCAATACCTCTATCAGTGTTATCAAATTGCCCCGCCATGGCCGTTGTGGCGGATATACATGGCGGTTTTGGGCCTGCCGCAATGGTAAATACCGCTTGCTATTGCACGTTTTTCCGCCATAATCCGCAATAGCGGCGCCGCAAAGCGACCCGATATGGCGGGATTTAGGCTATCCGCCATGGACTGCCATCCGCCATTGATAACACTGACCTCTATACATCAAAAGATCCTTTGTTGGGAGTCTATCGACAAGAAGTCTCCAACGGAAAGCTCTGATCTTGAAAGACACTTCCGCTTTCCAAACCTAACGCCACGTCATGTCTATTAGGCGGACCGAGAGGAGTTCGGAAACTAGCAAAACAATCATAATAAGAAGCCACTGAAAAAAACATCCCCCGGATTATAATACCATTCCACCAAATCCGGCCCTTCAAAAACATCACCGAAAAGCTCCAACCTTTCTTTTAAAGACACAAAATCTTCACTCAAATTCAAATTGTTCAACACGACCGTGGTAAGACCAAGATCACCCCACTTCCACCTATCATCACTCTAACCCCCCATACCCGCCACCGATACTCTCTTCAAGCAAGAAGCCGCAAACAAATCCGGAAAAATCTCCGTCAAAGGGTTGTCGTCAATCCACTTAGCCTCCCAAAAAGGAGTAGTGAAACCATTACGAATATGAAACCTACTATTAGAGACTAAAGGGTCAATGATGGAATTGTTCCCAATTGATATGATATCATTCCACTAAGTAGAACAAGAGGACTTTGCCTTGCTAGAGTCTTCTCCACATAACACCTTAATAGATAAATCTCCATAACGAGTTTTCAACACTTTGTACCAAAGAGCCGTTTGGCCTTGCATAATTCTCCATCTCCATTTGTTAACGAGGGCTATATTAAAATCTGACAAGTTTTTAATTCCAAGACCCCCTTTCTCAAAAGATAAATTCACATCCTTCCAACTCACCCAATGAATTTTTCTCTTTTCCACCACTCCCCCCATAAGAAATTACTTTGGACCCCCGTAAATTCTTTAACAACCTTCGTCGGCATTTTATAGAAAGACGGTAAAAATAGTAAGAGTGCATAAAATGGACTTCAAAAGGGTTATCCTACCTCTAAGATTGAGAAAACGGTTCTTCCATCCCGCTAAACGATTTCTCATCTTAGTCATGAGAGGAAGCCAAGAAGAAGCCTTCCTTGGATTAATTCCTATAGGAATACCAAGAAAAGTAAAATTGCTTTCTTCCACCTTATAAGAAAGAACATAAGAAGCGGCATCCAAAAAATTGTTGCTAGAACTGATGCCAATCAACTTTTGTGATAGTTAATTCCTAGTCCCAAAACAAGTTCAAAAGCCCTCAAGACCGTCTTGATAGCCCACACATGCTTCCAAGTCCCTTCCCCTATCAATAGCGTGTCATCCGCAAATTAGAGAATGTCAACCAAACAACTTCCTTTGATGAGAAACTTACCAAATTCCCCAATTTCGGTAGACTTTCTAACTAGCCCGCTAATCCTTCCGCTACCAACACAAAAAGAAAAGGAGAAAGAGGATCTCCTTGCCTCAAACCCCTCTCAACTACAAATTCTTTAGTGGGACTCCCATTGACTAACACCGACATTTTACTTTGAAACACCAACAACTCCATCCATTTCCTCCATTTTACTTTGAAACACCAACAACTCCATCCATTTCCTCCATTTTACTTTGAAACACCAACAACTCCATCCATTTCCTCTATTTCTCCCTGAAACCCATCATCCTCAACATATAGCGCAAAAAATTCCAACTCACTTTATCGTACGCTTTCTCAAAGTCCACTTTAAAAAGGAGACAATTACCATCCTCTTTTCTAGCATAATCAACCACTTGGTTAGCCACCATAACACCATCTAACAATTGTCTACCCGCCACAAAAGCACTTTGGCAAGGAGAAATAATAGAATTCAAAACCCGTTTCAAACGCCCCGCCAACACTTTAGCTACCACTTTGTACATACAACCCACTAAACAAATAGGTGTATAATTATCCAAACCGATAGGATTCAGACACTTGGGAACCAAAGTTAAGAAAGAAGATGTAACCGCCTTTGAAAGCTCCCCCTCCAACGTAAAAGTAAAGAAAAAAACGAACGAACTCATCTTTTAAAAAAAACCAACATCTTTTGATAAAGAGAAAAGAAAATTCGTCCCGACCCGGACTTTTAGAGCCTCCGCATCCTCAAATAGCCTCCTTAATCTCTTCCTCTTGAAAAGGACTTTCAAGAGACAACCTATCTTCTTCGCTAATATTTTTAAAAGGAATCCTGTCCAACAGAGGCCTCTCCATCCGTTTTGATAAATTTGTTTGAAAACTGATATGTAACCTCCTCCTTTATCTCCTCAACCGATTCCAACAAGCCACTCGAGGACATAACCGGACCTGTGTGATTGTGCCTTCTTCTTTCCTTCATCACCTTATGGAAAAAACCACTATTGGAGTCTCCCTCATTGAGCCATTTTAATCTCGATTTTTGAACAAGCATATTTTCTTTAATCCTCAAATTCGTCCAAAACCGACTAGTATCTTCCTTCCCTTTGGCTATAATTTCCGGATGCAACACATCGTCTTCATAATCCAACCTCTCGTCCCCTATGTTGATATCTCTAACTCCTTCCTCCAACTCCAAGTCAATTCTACCAAACACTTCCTTATTCCACCATTTGAGTCTTTCTTTTAGAAGTCTAAATTTATCTTTTAACACAAAATCTCCTTTACCTTCAACTTTGAAATCTTTCCATTTCTTCTCCACAAAAGGGACAAAAGATTCAAAAGAAAACCACTCGTTAAACTTGAACGGTTTCGGACCCCAATTGACATTGTCCTTCACTATCCAAATAGGACAATGATCTGAAATGTCTCTATTTCCGATTAATTGGCCAACTACACCCCGATTATTAACAATAGAATCTGACATAAGAAACCGATCAATTCTACTCATTGACTTGCCATCCCCGCTATACCACGAGAATTTTTTTCCTCTACAAGGTATGTCCACCAACCTACTTTTCTCTATAAAATCTGCAAAAGATTTCATCTACTTTCCATCTCCGCCCTCCCCTTCCTTTCTTTACTATTTTTTATAGCATTAAAATCGCCTCCAATGATCCATTCCCCGTCATTATATTTCTCTTTCAAATCCACTTACTTGCTCCACAATATTTTTTTTTACTCAAATCACATGAAGAATATACATTTACCACATAATAAACATTGCTCTTCCAAAAAACTTTTTTTTGATTCCTAAATATCCTTCTCCTTTAAAACTATTCAACACTTCCACCACACCTTCCTTCCATAAAGAAATAAGACCACCCGACATTCCCAATGAATTGGAAAAAGAAAAATCGATATCAGTATTGTTCCAAAATCTTTCGTTTCTTGAATCAAGAATATGTCCGCATTGCCCTTTTTGATCAAAGAACTAATTCTTCTTCTCTCAAGGGCATTGCCTCCTCCTCTAATATTCAATGTTCCTATTATCATTGAACACGGTTTGATTTCTCCATCCTCTCTACTTTTCTTTTCCATCCACTTTCTCCAATTCCTCAATTCTACTAATGTTAATATTTCGGCCTTCCGAATCCACCACACCCAATGTCACTATGGCTGCCCACAATTTGCTTCCGTCATCCCCATCCAAGAACTCCCACTGCCTTTCGTTATTTCTACAAATATCTGAATTTTCCGATTGATCCCCATATACAGCCCGAAAACTCCCACTCTTTTGTCTTTTCGGTTCAGAATTGAAAGAAAGAATGGGACTATTAGAGGATTCATTAGGTGGCAAGTTAAGAGATTTAGAAATCCCTTTAATCACAGAAAGAGACTTCCCCTTCTTTTTAGTCTTCCTAGCTGTTCTGAACTTTCTTCTAAAAAAACAACCTTCCATCTCTAAAATATTTCTGAACTTCAGCTTTTTAGAGCGTCTTTTCGAAGTAGGACCCACCATCGAACATTTAACAGCTGTCCCAGAAATTTCAGATGAGACCCAAACCTGTGGCTGCTTGAATTCAGAATCCGCCCCTGCCTCTGTGAAGACGCTGCCTGATTTGTTTTGGCCTCCTTGCATTTTGTTTAGGAATTAACATTCCCACTACCAGCATCATTACCTTTTGCCCCATCAAACATTGTAACCACATCCCCCTCATTCTCAAAAACAGAAAAGTCTCTATACTATCGTCGACATCATCGGCATCTATATCTACCTTCCCCTCAAACAAGTCATTTGACCAAGCTCCAACCGAATTGCTCGACACAGAATCAGTAATTTGAGTTTTCGATATGCCTGAATCGGAACGGAGCGAGACAAACGTATCTTCCCTGAGCACAAGGTTGAAAGCCTTCCCATCTATCATCACCCACAAATTATCAGCCAGGTTGAACGCAAAAGAAACTCTCACCAAAATTCTGGCTATGTCAAGGTTTGTGTGGATTTGATGTGTTCTCGTCAATACAAATAAACGATCCCAATTGATTCGCCAAAGACATGAAGAAATCACAATTCCAAGCGTGAGCTGGTACGCCGTAAATCCTAATCCACATAGTTCTTCCTTCATCTACGTCTTCCTCCCTCCACCTTCTAACCTCCAAAAACCACTGTTTCCACCACTCGTCCCTCTCTCCTGTCAGCTCCTCAATAATCCCTTCCTCCGTTTCTTCCAACAAACATAGATTCGGACCTAGAGGAGTAACCTTGATCACAAAATACCCCTCCATTTCGAATTGAGATTGAAGACTGTATGTTGAATTTGGGATTAAAACTCGACCTACATAAGCTTTATGAAGTCTTTCCCTGTCCTCCACTTTAGATGAAAACTGAAGTCTTTCTTCCACAGCCGAACCGTTCAACACATGGGCCTCCTTCGAAAGCGCATTATTTGTCACTTCAGCATATGATCTATTTCCTCTCTGAAACCAAAATCTACCTTATTACTGCGATAAAACTCCTTCCGATTCGCTACTGCACCATGGTTTTCCACTCCACCAGTGCGAAATAACTCTGTCTTCCTCTTCCTCTCGAACCTGGGTAAATTAACGTGTATTTTCCTCCCTAAAATCTGAACATTGTCCAAATGAACCGCCAAAAGCCTAGCATCCTCTACCTCCACAAACCTAGCAAACCCAAATCTCTTGCTTACGTTGTTTCTCCTTGGCGAAATCGCAACCTCAATCACTTTCCCAACACAACCAAAAAGATCGAAGAAATCTGCTGCCTTACTATCATCTGGAAATTCTGAGAAATAAATCGAAGTCACACCTTTTGGATAGTACTCGCCCACTCTTTTGATTATCGAATGTATATCCCAACGAGGGACCCAATTCCTAAAGTTCTTCTTCCTTGCCTTCTTCCAGTCTTCCCTTTGGTATGAAGACCCACCGATCATGGCGGATACGAACCCTAACCCCCCTTTTACCACAAATATATTTTTGCAATATGCAATTCAAAATAATACAAATGCAATATTCAAAAGACCCCATGCATCACAAATGAAAATGCGCTGTTATAGATGTACTGTCCTTTTTTTTGTATACAATTCACTTTTTGCTTTAGTGTAGCTATCTTTGAAGGTGTCATGTTTCATATCAATTCATTATGTACATGATGTTTGATAGATGTAAATGTGTCAATGTAATCGTTTAAAGATTTTATTATTCTTGCATAAGTCAAGATATATTGTAAAGAGACGTTATTCCAAAGGGACTCAGATACGTTCTTAAGTGGATGACAGATTGACAAACTTCATTATTCTCAATACAGTCATCCATTGAGTTCATCCATTCCATGCTTTTTGTTACAGATGTGTAGTGAGGGATTGGTTATCGGTGCTTGACATGTGTTACCCTTCAATCTATTCATGGACTGATTCCAACAACAAGTTTTGGGGCAGCTGAAGTATGTATAGTTGTAAGGTGCAACGTTATTCTTTCGAGTGATGATTAAGTTTTACAATTAGGTTGATGAATTCCCATCTTGGCACTCTGCTATTGAATGCTTGACGTCATTTATTTTGGAGAGGATATATAATAATGCTTCAAATCGATTGCTGTGAAAACGTTGTCTGGATTTTTTTCAGCTGTGCCGTGTTTATCTTTTGTATAGTCACTGGATTTAGATTTGGAATATTGTTTTCTATTTTGACGTGATTTACGTTGGATATTTGGGTCAATAACGATTGAGTTTGTTTCTCATTCTTTTCTTTCCCAATACTTATACAGTTCTCGAAAGCAGCTATGCAAATCAAGGAAGCTATATCTAACCTTCCTGTTGCGACAGAGGAGGATGACACAGAAGAAGCAATGTCTCTGAAAGATATTACAGTTACAGTAGATGAAGGTGTTCAATCGCTTGCCACAAATGAGGAAAATAAAGGTGTGGAGGAAGCTGACCCATTTGGACTTGATGCCCTGATTCCTGAATCCACAAAGAAAAGTGCAAAGAATGACGCTATAAGAAAGGAAGAGGAGGAAGAAACTAAACGAATCCTTAAGTTACAAAGAAAAGCCCTCATAACCTGTCTAGAGATTGCTGCTCGGCGGTATAAAACACCTTGGTAAGTGCTGCTACTATGTTCTGATGTATTTATTTTTTACTTATGTTTGTCATTTTGACATTATTTGTCTTTGCTTTAATTTTCTTTACATAGGTGCCAAACCGTAATTGATATTTTAGTGAAGCATGCCTCTGATAAAGTGGCAAGATTTACTGCTCATCAGAGGGATGCTGTAGAGAAATTGTGGGCTTCCATACGGGAGCAACAGACTCGCAGGAGGCAAGGAAAGTCAGTTAATGGAAAACTTGATGTAAATGCTTTTGAATGGCTTCAACAAAAATATTCTACTGAGAAGATTAGCATTAGGCATTCTGTTGGAGGTAGTGGAGACCGACGTGCCACACAATGGCTTGGTTAGGTTTTCTTTCTGACATTTTCTGTAAGAAAAAGAGAGGACATTTTCTGTAAGAGAAAGAGAGGACGATGGTAAATCAAAGGAAACTTCAAAAACGGTCAAGACAAGAAGAGTAAATGTTTTCTTCACTAGTGTTGTAAGTTGTCCCAAAATAAGTGTCTCTTTGGCCTAAAAAATTTATCTCAAAATAAGTGTCATTTTACTTTTATAATATAAACATTAATTGATTTTTACCAATTTTACACCTAATTAATTATGTCTGTACTACTCTTAAGGCATTAAATTTCACTATGTTTTTATGACAATATAAAAGTAATCAATAATCATTAATGACAATTTTGTAAATGTGTTATATTTATTGTTTTAATTTCCTGGCTGAGTTTCCCCCAAAACATTGGTAGAAATTTTATAAAATTTGATTTTCTTCCTTTTTTAATCTCCTGGCTTTAGTTATAGGTTTGTCATCAAGGAGTGCAATGGAATGAAATGGAATAAATTTATGTTTAATTTTTTGGATTGAATAAAAAAGAATGGAATGAAACAGAATTAGATGGAATGCATTCCATTGCTTTTCATTATTTTTTGTACTCTCCGATTTGGGCGGAATGGAAAAACTATATTCCATCGTGACATATCCAAACAATAGAATGACATTCATTCCATTCCGCTTCAGTTTGCTCCGTTCCATCCTGGTCCACTCCATTATGCTTTGTTGTTTTTTACATATCTAAACATAGTCCAAAGCATGAAATAATGTTTTGCAAAATGTGATTATGCATCTGTACGTGCAAGTAAAATGGTCTGACTATCAATTTGGACAGAGCAAACTTGGTTATTTCATAAATAGATTTAAAGTAGTAAATGTTGCAGGAGAATTTGTACATTATTCTAACAATCAATTTGGAATTTCAATATCAAAAGTTATCAACAAAAGACTTGAACAAAAGTAATTTTGATAAAAATATTCAAACATTTTTCATACAAATCACTTTTGTTGTGAATATATCCGAATATAAATCACTTTATATTAAACTCAATTTAAACTAGAATCAATTTTATAAAATCAATATCTTTAAAATTAATTTTTTTAAATTAATTTTTTTTACTGTAGAACCAAACAGACACTTATTGCCAGTGGGTTCTGCTTAACTTTATAATCTTGATGATAAGTTTTTCAGTTTATCTAAACGGTTCATTCCACTATCAGGATCGGATCAATGTAAATCTTTCCAAGACCCCCGTGATTGGAACTGTACATATCAAAGGCATGGAGGCACTTTTCAAAATCAGTGAGCTCAAAGATAGTTCTCCTCCACTCCTATCAGATCCTCTTACTCTGCTTATTCTTGAGGGTTTTAGAAATATCTATCAACATATGTTCCCCTCTTCAAAACCCGATTTAATTTGTTTGAGGTTTAGATACCGATGTGGAGCATGGCTGTTACCTTTTATGTCTTAGTTATTGAACACTCACCCTCTCCATGTATGAATAGTCTTGTGCTCGTTATTTTGTGTCTGGACATAACTTAAGCATAAGCTACACGCCTACACCTAATGTCACCATATCATAGTATCTTCTCTTAGGTTAAAAGCTTCAAATTTTTCCCTGATGAAAAACACTACTAGTACAGTGCCAAACATTGTAATTCCCACTTCTATCTTAAAGTACGCAGATCTAATACCACCATTATGTTATTAGTTTGTAAGAAATTTCATAGTCGAGCGGTGATCAATACTGTCAAACCCAAATGTTTTCTTTTCCATTCTAATTGAGAAGCTGGTAATGGAACTGCTTGCAAATTGCAGATATTAGTTTATATAGTTATAGCCACATTCATGAGCAGAATCTATCGATCTAGTACCAAAGAGACACATAAGTTCCACTGTTAACTAGCCACCGTGCATCTTTCTCAGAGTATAATAACAACTCTTATTAGTCCAGAATCAGGATACATTTGTTGTATGATGTATGAGGCATAAACATGGCCAATACATTTATGAACCAAAAAATAAACGTAATATATAGATGTTTAATGCAACAATCGGCTATATTATTCACCTTTAACCAAATAAAGATAATCGTACAAGCTATAGAGAAAACAAAAATGATCAAATCCTTCTATTAAATAGGCACTGCAAATGAAAACTCAAAATTGCAACTAAACCCAAATTAATAAATCCATGTTCCTCATGAACAAAAAACACAGGAAAAAAAAGAGGGAAAACGGTTGAAACTCACTTGACTAAAATTCCTATAATCCTTTTACCTTGGTTTCAGTCCCAATCTTCCTCACTCAACTGATCATCATCATTCTCGTTAGGTGGCCTAACAACCAAAACAACATTCCCTAAACACTCAGTAACACCCAACTCCTTCAGAATCAAACCCCTTTGAACCTTTAAACCAACATCATTACCTTCATCTTTAACCAAATAAAACCCTTCATCATTCTCCACTTCCCTCTTATTCCTATCAGCAACCACCAATATAGGCTCCTCCTTATACCATCTATTCGCCTTCCACGGCAAAACTCTAGCATCCAAAAACGACACAACAACACCGCCTTTCCCCAAATCAACCACCGGCCCCCAGCCCGGTAACACCACCCATTTCTCCCACCCTTTCTCCGCCACTGCAATACCAAACACACCTTCATTTCTAATCTCAGAAGGTGCTGACAAAATCACCTCAACTCCTTCATCAGCTCTACACACAGGCAAAACAACAACAGAATTCGCCTCCGCCACTTCACCAATCTGCAACCTGACCACCGGAACAGGCACCTTCAACAGAATAGCTTCAACCTCTTCTTCTTGACCTTCACCTTTCCCATTCAGCTCCTCAAAAACAACCTTCCTAGCTTTCTCACTTTCCACAACACTTAACCCTTGTTCAAGCGCTGAAACTCTCTCATCAGAAGGGTTCCTATGTTCCTTACTCTGTCTATAATACATATAACCGAGACAATCTCCGGGAAGAGTATAATCAAAACAGTCCCAATTCTTCTCCCCGCGTCTACTAGGAAAATCCTTTATAGAACGCGCAAGATCCTGAGCTCCTTTCCCATCATATCTTTTCTCCACAAGAAACCTTGCGGCGGAGGCGCGTTGCGGACCGGTGAGGAGACGGATTTCGTACAAAACTTCAGCGCCGCCGTTATCGAAGTAAGAGAGAATCTCTTCCTCGACGTTGGACTGAACGAGAGTGTCGCGGACTTGAGTTGCGACTATGATGCGATTCTGTTCAACGCCGCTAATGCCGGTGGTTTCTTCGATGGTGGGAGGCGAAAAGCCTTCGCGCATGAGGGAGGTTATGAGAGGAGCGTATTCGTGCCATACGCCGAGACGGTTAGCGAGGATGTCGATTCGGCCAGGGATGTCGAGGTTGCTGAATCTTGATGGGAGAGGAGTTGGTGGTGGCCGGAAGGGTTGGTATAGTTGCTGTTGTGGTTGTTGTTGTAGCTGTTGTTGTTGTTTGCGGTAGGATGAGGAGTTGTTGGCAATGGCTAAGATTGGTTTAAGGTGGTGGTGGTGGTGGTGGTGGTGGTGGTTGGTGGAGGAGGGTGAGGTAAGGATGGTACCGTTGAGAAATTTGAGATTGATGGATGGTGAGAGGGAGTGCATCTTGGGAGTCAAGTGTGGATTGTGTTGCGCGCGTTACCCTTTCTTATCGGTTTGTTAGATTTTACACTGAACAACAAGAGTCTTTCCTTGTTTCATGATCATTAGAGGGATAACTGAAACAACTAAAAATATCCCACTGTGGACGACATTCAACCTCATCCACACAAACTTATGACTATGGAATATTCACACGTCTCCTACTAGTTTAATTTCTACATTTTATTATTCAAGTGAAAAAGTATATTTTTTCCAAGGAAAAATTATATTTTGTTATGAAAGTAAACAAAACAAAATAGGAGAGGAGAAGAAAGTATATTGTATTACCGTGTATTATAAGTGAGAAAGGCTAGGTTGACATGAAAATTTATGTTTTCCGGATAAAAATGTTTTAATTTTTAGTCACTATTATAAACTGTTATGAATTGATCTGACGTTTAGAGTGAGTTCAGTCTGACCTTCTCCTTCTATACTATCTGTGCAACTATGGCTCGGGTTTCTCGTTCGCCGTCGGATACCTTCGATCATTTGTCTTTCTGGACCAGCACTGACCTACGACAATCAACGAGCGTCTTTCAGTCTGTCCGACTTCAAGTCGGTCAGACAACTAGGAATCGATCAGACCGATGTCCGTAACTTACCTCCTTCTCCTCGGAACTAACAGCTAATTGCGGGCACACCTATCCTGTTTGACCAAGTTCAAACAATTACCTATTCTTTCGGACCCGCGTATCTAGGTCCAAAAATAGGGATCAATGGCCAAGCACCTGGGACATTATACAAACCCTCAATCATGTGAGGGCCAGATATCAAATATTCATTATTCATCACTAAAATCCTAACACTTTGTTTGTATCTTTTTCGCTCCCGCACTTACTTGATCGTCGGAGTGCCTTGCATGTACAATCCCTCTTTTTTCTCTTCGACTTTCCAACTCGTTCGAAGATCATCGTCCGGCTACCTTATAGGTTCTGATCAACCGGTAAGATCATAAACAAAAGTCAATTATTACTAAATCATTTAATTTTGTAATTCCTATATACCTCTCTATTTTATTTTCCAACATTCCATTAAATTTAATAAAGAGGACATTATAGTAAATTTAATTAATTTTTTCATCAAAATCTAAAAAGTTAACTACATTTGATTAAATTTCTTAATAACCGTGAAAATTATTTTTGTTGCTTATTAATGTGTCCGTATGGTGTACATTATTCCCTAGTAATTCAGAGTTTGTGCCGAGAGGTATGGACACTAGTCAAACATTATTCTCACCTAAGAATCGAATATGATATTTCTCAGATTATGTTCTTAGCAGGAACTCATTTACCACTGGAGCCTAAACTACTTAATTTTTGTGCACAATTTAAATTGCTTGGAAA